CAACATTGTAAGTCATTTTTGGACAACATTCGACATTTTTTTCGAACCTATTTTTCACCATTGTGTAGAGAAGAACTGGTTGTACAACATATATGAAAATCAGCGTGGGATCTCTAAGATTCACTGAATGCCAGCTGATACACTGTAAAAGACTGACACGTTTTTCCACTCAAAAAATGACCATCCATGAACAGTATTTCACCAATAGCTATATGGATCTGCCTGTGGAAATATAATATCTAAATAGCTGGTTTTGTTGAGCTTTTAATGCTCCCATGTATTCTATTGCGGTCAAACTGCGTCAAAATTGCCAAAAGAGATGCTATAGATGAGATTTTCATTTTATTAATATCTTTATTAAGAATTAAAAAAAATTGAAACAATAAAAAAATAGACAAATTAAAAAAAACAGAAAAATAAAAAAAGATTAGAGTATTCATAAAAAATTAAAAGTTAAAAAATTAAAATTAAAAAAAATTAGAAAAATTATTTGTGAATTATATATTCTACCTTTCGTGGTAGAACGAGTTATGAGCCGAAGTGTCATGGACAGCCTTTTATATGTAAGGAAAGTTAGCAGCCGAATCGACTATTTTCCATGACAATTCGCCTGAGCGACTAAGCCACCTACAACTCGATGAGCTCTATCTAACGGTGCCATCAGATTCCGCGAAACTTCCACTTCAACGCCACAAAAACCAAAACCACACAAAACCCCCATAATAAAAAACTATCCTTTTTAATAAAAGCCATGACGATTCGCCTGAGTGCTTAAGCCACTTCTGAATCATACGTCGATCGACGCAGAATTTCATTCTCTATCGAACGGTGTATAGCTTGCATGGCTCAACATCAATGAGATAGGACTTTGACCCGCAAGTCAGGTTTCCGCCTCACTAATTCCCACGACGTTTCGTTCAGCTACACAAGCCACCGACGAATTATATATCATTTGATGCAGAATTTCATGCTCTATCGAATGGTGTATACCTTGCATAACTCCACACCAATCAGATGTGACTTTGACGGTAAAAACCCTCGGACCATAGAAAAAGTCGGGTCTCTCGCTCACTAATTTCCATAACGATTCGTTCAAGTGCATAAGCCACTGACGAATCATATAGTATTCAATGTAGAGTTTCTCGCTCTATCAAATGGTGTATAACTTGCAGGGATGAACATTTACTATCTAAATCAAATCTTGTGTACAAAAACTCATTTCTGAATACTGTCATCTCGGTAAAGTGAACATTTTGAGTTGGAAAGAATGAAAGTGCTGCGAAATTCAATTTTTGCTTAGCTGAAGAAAAAAGCAAATTCCGAACTGTGAGAAACTATAGACTCTCATGCACGTTATCTTTCAGCTCTTTCGAAATATATTAGCGCAAGTCACAAGAACTTCTACGTTCGCGTATTGGAGAGAATGGCATGACGTATCGTTTGAAAATAATCTTGACGTTTTTGTGAGTCACCTGTTTGAAGATTTTAACAAAGTAAAATATCTTGGAAGCTTTCTGAGAATGGCGGTACATATTTATTTCTTGACGCTACAAGATATCGTTTCCCGAACTGATTCGGTAAAAGGTTCGGCAAAAACACGAACACCAAAAATATACTTCAACAGAAACGAAACCAAAGACATCAAGATTTCAAATGACATGAACGTTCTCGCTTCGACAGCAATACGGACACCAGAAGTCGGACTGCCTTCAAGATTTGGCTTCAATACACAAAAAGCCTTCATCACTATAGGACTCCAGTTGACTTCATGACTCTGAGTTCTACAGGATTCAAGACTTAATGACATTCACTAAATTCATGTCAATGGCTTGTGAGACATGAAGACTATAGCAACAAGACTGACAACACGACACCGGTTTTACGAGACATGAAGACTCCAGAATTCAGGCTAAATTAATGATATTCTACTTAGGGGACTTCCAACTTACACCAATTTCACTGACTTCATGACGGTGAATTTTGAAAACGAGAACACTTGAGAGATTTCGGTAAGTTCGTGTCTCAGTGTTTTCAAAGATTCAGCACGTTGACTGACATCATGTCTAAGTCCTTGATGGACTTAAAGAACTTAGTACTACAACTGACAATATGACTCTGAAACTCACAGTCATATACACTTCGAGACTTTCACTACTTTCGTAGTACTCGCTTTAACAGATATGAACACTGAAGGACTTTGACGAAATTCATGAGTTTACATTAAGGAGCCTTGAAAACTTTATGATTCGCACAGATTTCCACACGAAGACTATCTTCGAGACCATTCATTTGACAGACTTGACAACTATCACTGACGTCAAGACTCTATATTTAGGAGACTCTCAGAATTGAGGTCCCTAGAACGATAACCAACTTCATGTGTTTGTCTGACTTCAACTAGGCTGAAAGAAAAGGTGCACTACGGAACACATGAGGTTTCGTGCTACTTTGGCACACCTCTTAAGCTATCATACAAATGAACGAAATCTTTTGAAGGTTTGGAAACGTTTTACATTTACTGTGAAACCACTAAAGGCTTTCCAAATAGAAAACCTATCGTTGTATACCGTTGAAAAGTATCCAAGCGAAGAGATTTCATGTCGAACTTAGGATTTTTATGTCTCATTACACTACAGACACATGTTCACCAATATGAAACTCAAACCAACACTAAGAAGTTAGATTAACTGTTTAGAGTAATAGAACAGATATACATTAAGAAGTTACCATATGGCCATGTGCTAACGGATTAACTATATACTCAGTACTTCGATTAGAGGTTAGAACAAGTCGACAGAACAAACGGTCCGAACAAGAGGATAGAATAAGCCGTTGGAATAACTCCACAGAAATAGATCAGTGAATCGTTTTGTAGATAGCTGGCGGTAATCTATAAGAGGTCGTCCAAGCCTCAGCCACCTCTACTGCGCTTCCCCAATCCGCATATTTTTTCACTCCATACGATCGCTACCGCGAGCTTCAAAACCCTTTCCCGCAATCCTGTCAAGCATTTCATATGGTAATAACCCCACAAAATCTTTATAGCATGCCACGAAAACATGTTTTTTTACCGTCTAAAGCACTGATGAATCAGACATAAGTGGATATAGCGTCGAATCTTGCATCGAATGGTATATCACGCGCAAGTGCCGTATGGACTTCAGCGAATCATCCTGGAAATTAGTAGGAAGGAAACCCCACTGCTCGTGGGTTCCGAATGTTTTCACAAGTTAAAGTCCCATCTCATTGGTGTTGAGCCATGCAAGCTATACACCATTCGATAGAGCTTGAAATTCTGCATCGAATGGTATATGATTCGTCAGTGGCCTATGTACTTGAACGAATCGTCGTGAGAGTTACTGGGGAAGTGTCAAGTGTTCATAGGTTTGGAAGGTTTGACGGGTAAAAGTCCCATCTGATTTATGTTCAGCCATGCAAGCTGAACGCCATTCGATAGAACTCGCGATTCGGCATCGATTGGTGTGGTTTTCAAAGGTGGCTTAAGCTTAGGGGCGAATCGTCACAGGAAATACTTTCGAAAAACTGTTTTTTCAGGTTTCCTAGAAACCCAGTCGATTATAAGGGACTTTTATCGATATTACTTGTATGCTATTCGATAGAGCATGAAATTCTGCGTCGATTGACGTATGATTCAGAAGTGGCTTAAGCACTCAGGCGAATCGTCATGGCTTTTATTAAAAAGGATAGTTTTTTATTATGGTGGTTTTGTGTGGTTTTGGTTTTTGTGGCGTTGAAGTGGAAGTTTCGCGGAATCTGATGGCACCGTTAGATAGAGCTCGTCGAGTTGTAGGTGTCTTAGTGGTTTAGTCGCTCAGGCGAATCGTCATGGAAAATACTCGAATCGGCTGCTAACTTTCCTTACATGCCTTTTATACTGTCTTTCTCTGGCTAAGTTTTACTGCTGGAGTGTAGACAATTACAAATAAGGAGGAGTGATTTATGATTGGTCGGCGCTAGTTACAGCGGATTGTACAATGCGATTACTGCAACGCAGTTACGCTGGTCTGCGTCGTAGTAACCGCAGTTTCTGACAGAGATTTTCGCTGCGATCAATGCGCCGCAGTTACGCGCAGTTGCGATAAAACTTTCGCAGTTATGCGCAACTGCGGTGCAGTTGGCAAAATAGAGGCGACATGGGCTCTATCTATTGGTATATTAGATGAAAATTTTTGTTAGTTTATTCTTATCAGAAAAAACTCAACTTTATAACGCCGGTTTTTGACCATATTTTTTCAATACTCTCTTGAGGGCTCCACAGTCTCATAGAACTAACTCTTCACCAGCTCACTCAAATTCGCTAAAAATTTGGATTTAGAGGTTTCAGATGATGCTGAACAAGATGAGAACATCAAATCAAAAAAGAATAAATTTTGACAAGTGCTTCGTTTTCTAGCATGGTCCTCGACAGTCTTATGAAATCTCTCTTAATATCGTTAAATATAAATGATTTCTGATTGATCGATAAAATAAATAAGATATATATCTCGAGATATTTTAATAAAATATAAGTATATAAAAATAATTTTTATTTAATAGAAATGTTTATTATTATAGTTTGATATTTAATATAAAGTAAGAATTTATTTCTAATCAATGTTTTCTATTTGTCTGTTATGTTTAAAAAGTATTGAAATTAAAAAGAGAATATTTATCGTATTGTGAGTCATATCATATATAAGTTAATAGCGCATAGAAATTGATAAAAAAGGCAAATTTTATTATGTTGAATAAGATGATAAACAGAGAAAAAACGAAACGAAAGATATGATAAAACATTTAACATATGACGAACCGTAGCTTCCAAATTGCGACCGAAAATTAAGCCAATTAAGAAAAAAGTGGTCGCAATTCGGAATGAATAATTTTACGTTGATCTCATTTTTTATTCGATTCCAAATTGCGACCACTTTTTTAATTATCAATCAGTCAACGCTTTTGATTGAAAAAAATTTATTGAAAAAACGACTACAGAAAAAAAATTATTCTTCATCACTACTATCTTTAGTATCTTTTATAATGTAGATATAGCGATGAGAAATAGTAATAGGCTGATCTACATCGTCTAATACTCGACGTTTCAATCCACAA